AGAAAAAAGTAATAGAAATTCTTATTGAAAACTTAGCTCTAAGCTTGAAATAGTTTTTTTTTGTCTAAAAATGAAATTGTTAGTATTTTAAGTTCTAATTATAAATTTCTTGTCAATCTAATTCTGATTAGAAGTTATTGAACCTAAGTTACTATATATGTTCAGTTATATTATCAAACTTAAGCAACTCACAAATTCATAATTAATGAATTATTAATTAATTAATTAAGGTTGAAATCAGGAAGATTCGTTTTGTAGCAACAACGCAGGTGCGTTTTTATTTTATATTCGTATATTGTTTGCTAAAATATAAAAAAAAGAAACAAGCTTTTAGGTTAATTGCGTTCACCACTTAACAAAGCGTACGATAAAAATTGTGTCTCCCCTATTCCGCTGTTTCCACTTCCGGAAAGGAAGTTAAGTCTGAAAAGGCAACAAAATCATTCGGCGTACGACCACCTACAACATCAGAGTTTAACAAAATTTCCCACAATATATGAATTTCACATGGAATTTAATTGATGTGTACTTGACAACGAATTGAACGTTGACCTTGCTCCTCTGAATTCTAAAAATGTCATCAACATCCTAATTACACATATGCAGAATAAAAACGTTCTAAAAGCCTCCATAAATCTTCTGGCGTATTCACTTGCATATTTCGACTTCACGATTGATCACCTTGCAAGAGACGAAGTATTCCAGTCATCGTAATGGAGATTCTCAACTGACACAAAAAAAAATGAAATCGAAAATGTGAAGATGTGGAGTAGTGAAATTTAAAGAATATGCATCGAGACAGAAAAAAAAATCGGTTTAAAAAAAATAACCATCGCAGCTCGAGGCGGAGAAATTACTCGTCGGCCTAACCTAACGTAAGAATTTTTGATGGAGGAGAGAAAGACTGACACGAATTCTGGCCGTTTATCTTATCGTCGAGATGTTATTCTAATTGTCGCATTGTGATTCTCCATTGTTAACAAATTAGCATTTAAAGGAGAGGATCACAACAGCACAGACAATTGCTGTTTCCACGCGCAGATATTTTCAGTCTGATCGGATAACAACATTCTTAAAGCTTGTTCATAAAAAAATGACGTTGACGATCCTTGGAATTGGGCGTCTGAATCTGAAAGAAAGAAAACTCGATGACGGCGTTTCACGCTTGGCACTTGGAAATAGCTGCGGTTCATTCAAGGACCTCGAATTGCATCAGACCATCGCGGATAAAATAAAACTCCACTTTGCCAAGTTTTTCTCGAAATACATTTCAGACACGTTCTACAATCAGCAATTTGTAATCAATAGTTTTACTTTTCTATTTCCGTTCTGGCTTTTATTTTGGTTTTATGATGTTGCATCACATGCTCAACATGGTTTCCCTTTCTAACTGTATCAATTCTAAAAGTTTTTTTTATTTATACCACAACTATCTCTTTTAGTTGTGTCTGCAGATTTAAGTTTCTCCTTGTTATTTTGAATTACAATGTGAAATACTTTATAAAAATGTATAAACTTTCATAAATTTTTCATTCAAATTTATTTTATAAAGGTGTTACCTCATACTCAAAACATCACTGTGCCTAAATCTAATTTTTCATCTTCATTATTTATTTTGTAATATTCAAAAGTTAATTCAAAGAAATTCGATACTTTGTACAGTATGTTAAACCATAAAACCTGTTCTTTCGAATCATACCAGCTTTATTACTTTCATCGCTGGAACCTTGTTCTTTTTAACAATTTCTCTTCGTACTTTAAAACTTTGAGTTAATGAAATTAACGTAAATAATTTATTAATAATTCTTATAATGATGTGCTGCAAAATCCTATTTTTCTATACCTTATCATATCACTACTCTATTTATTATATTTTCAAATGACAATTTTTAATAAGCATAATTACATACGACAATAATATTTTTTTGATTTTTTCTTGAATATTAAATAATAAATAATTGTTATATAATAGAATCAATAAGATAAGTTATCTCATTAAATTATAAACAAAGTTTCTATTTGACTACTCTATATATTATTAGATTAGAGCACATAAAAAATACAGCTATAAATTAATAAGAAGATTTTACATAAATTTTATTTTTTTTTATTAATATACAAGTTAAGGTTAATTATCTAATTTTGGTTTCTGGCTCGACACTGTATAGAATTATGAATAAATAAATATATATAAATGCGATTCCAAACATTCTAAATATGTTCGAATGCAAATACAAGTTCTGCTTAACATCAGGACCTGAGTTTTCTCCACGCTTTGGTTGCTTTCATAGCTGAAGTAACAAATAAATTTCCTCGGAATCCCGGAATTGAAAATAACGTTCTGCAATTCACGTTTCGCTCATTCCTTAAACAAAACAAAACAAAAAGCAACCTAGGCGTGACTACTTTTCTTCATATCGCAATTATCCATTCGATGATGGCTTTCTTTCATTTCATCGTTGAACAAATTGAAAGAAACACGTGATACGCCACCGAAGACAAGACTTTCTTTCAATTGTTTACTTCAATTCCTTTGTGCCTGTTCCTACTTTTTCATTTCTTCTGCAAACGTTATTTCTTCTAGTGGGAAGTAATTGAATTAACAGATAAATTGCCTTAACCTCAATGATGTTATAACTCCAGTTACATACGAGAATAATGGAAATGGCAAAGGAAAACGTATCATCATAGGTGACATTTGTTCATTATTTATATATATATGTAATGTAAGAAGTCGACTTTGCCGCTATAAAACTGGGTCAGAGAATACGAAATCAATACAAAACAAGATTTAAAAATAAAGGATAAAACGACAAAAATAATAAGCCAATTATTGCAATATAGAACGATTTAATTATGTGTTATGCGTTTATGAATTATGTAATATGTTGTATGCACTTTTCTGATTCTTACGAAATTTCCAAGCCTGTTGATATTCAGATGTTCATTTATTTATATTTCTGATTTTTATGAGATGAATTCTAATGACCTCTAATCTGTCAAGGAAAATAAGTGGATTTTATGTGACTAGAGACTAATTCTGCTTCTTCAACTGCAACAGCAAATGATCAAATTACGCAAACGATATCAAATGCTGTTTATGTTAGATTTCATTAGGTATTGCGTTTAATTCTTATACACGTATATTATTTTTTTATATAACATTATTACTGCGCATATTACATAATAGAATTCGAATTTCTGTTAGATTATTATAAGTTTCCATCAAAATTATTTGGATATAATTACTAATAAAATAAACTAAATAGGATAAAATTACTAATAAAAAAAACCATTTTATAACAAAATATAAAAGTTGGTAATGATTATGGTAGTTTTGTTAATAGATAAAGTGATTATTATTCCAAAAAAGGACATAAAATGATTAATTAATATTAATGTGAAGTAAAGCACATTTAATAAAATTGTTCATAATCGAAACTAAAAATAAGAACTGGGTCAAAGCGAACGTAATCAATACATAAAACATTTCGCCGTTTTGCCGATGGAAGGAAAAAACAAAGAGTTAAAAATTGTTAAACAAAAATTGTTTCTTTAATTTTTAGGAGAGTCTCTTTGAAGATTTCCGAATCCTAGAAAAAAAATATGTATTTAGTGCAGGTAAGATTAAAGTTCCATTTATCTCCTTGTTTATACGACTTCAGACGATTCTTTTGGCTTCGCAAATCTAGTACAATGCCCTAACGAAAGGTGACAGTTTCTCAATACGCAACTCGCTACAAACGCGACTTACGCAACCCTAATTGACTATTAATTTACCAGAGAGAAAATCTATCGACTCTTTTAGGTTTTTATTGGGAATTCAGTAATACGTACGCGTTATTGTTATGGAGTGGAATGCTACTAGTATTATTATGTAATTCGCTTAGGTTCGACTTCCTCGAAGTCACGGACTGTGAAAATTATTCAGTTTTTTTTTCTTTCTGTTGTCACGGGCTATAGGAAGCCATTATGTTTTTTTTTATCTAAGTAAATTCGCACATGGTGAGTTACAATAAACATTCTAACATATTTATCTTTGAAATGTAAATTACCTCACAAGGATGTTTCACTAGTCGTTAAATATACATTACGGAAAACATTGATATATATTTTTTTAAATTCAGTAAGTGAAATTGGTTTCACAAATTTTAGTGGTTTTATGTAGATCAATTCACAAATAAACAAATAGACGTACATTCCAAAATAAATAGAAATCTGGAGCAAAATTATGTTTTTTTTTTCAATCTTTAATTTGTTGTTGTTTTCATTTGGGTTTTCAAAAAACCTTGAATGCGAGTAATCATGCAATCATTTGATTGAGTGTTTCATAATTTATGGCCTCAGGTTATTACCTAATTATAACACCAATTGTATGTCAATAACAAAACAAATCTTACGATGATATTTTGATTTAAAAGTTTTAGTATTTTTTTTTATGAATGTATGTATGTACATGCGTATATATCATACAGTGGTTTATGTTTGAAAAAGGCATTTGGCAAATGCAAAGTTTACTATCAATAAAAGTTATTTATAGCCCAGTTACGGAGCTCAAGTAAAGGATTCAAGCAATAATACTGGAAATGTTTAGTTGGGGATTCTCACGGTTTACCATATGTAAAAAAAACGAAAATAAAAGTGTTCTTATGAGAGTGCAGAAATGAATGTGAACTCTGGAGATAGCTGATTGATTCCCGTTAATATCGAATATGTATTTATGCCACGTTTATTTATTTGCTAAAACGTGCTCGATTTGACCTTGAGTATATCAAAACTGAATTCCTTTTCGTGTAATTACTTGTTACTTATTTTTTCGCTCCACGATAATTGTGGAAGCCTTGACTGAGACAGCCTTGATTGCAGCGTTTCAACTTTCAACTTTGAACACAGACTTATTTCGCTGCTGCGAACCGATTACACATGCATGTATTCATTTAACGTTCTTGTTTTCGGTCTATTATATAAGCATTAATAATTTGTGTTCTTTTTGTTTTCAGACAGTAACAAGTAGGCCTTCAAAAGGTTGGTCCTCGAAAGATGAGCGGATTATGAGCGAGGGAATTGTGAAGTTTAAACAAGATTTTATCGAAACTATTCCCATCAAAACGGCGGCGACAACGTATGACTTTTTGGACCATGCGCCGAAAAAGGATAAGAAATGGTCCTTGGGCAACCTATTTAGACGTAAGAAGAAAGAAGAGAGCGAAAGTAGTAGTGACGATGAAGTGAAGAGGAAGAATCTCGTCAATAAGAAGAAGAGGAGAAATGATAAGAGGAAGAAGAATCTCGGATTTGATCATATTGTAGTAGCTAAAAGCAGAGGATCTTATATAGTTACTAATGGAGTCGAAGATGTTGGGATACTATCGGATCCAAGTGGAGGATTTAGTTCTTACGTCGGAAGACCTTTACCGAGGATTCCTGTTGACGAGAACAAGAACGATTATGGAGTTGATAGCATCACGCGTAAAGGAAAGAGGGAGAGGACTAAAGCTCGTGCTATTGCTAGAAGAGATTCCTTGAGACAAGGCAGTAGTTCGGATGAAGATTCGCAGCGTTCTTATTCATCGGCAAGGTTTAGGAGCGACGAAAGCTTGAGCAGAGCAAGAGATGGTTCTATGAGTAGGAGAAGCAGGACAGCAAGAACTGAAAGGTACATAAAGAGACTATCTAAAGATGATGAGTCTATTTTGAACCGCGAGGCGCTGCAGCGACAGACGCGGGAAAATTGGCATTTGAAGTTGCCTGAAGATTTGTCGAGATACGGCAGATCGGCAAGTAAAAGTCCTATTCTTAGTACCACTCCCAAATCGGCGGAATGTTACATAAATAGTGCACCTTTGTCGCAGCCAACTTACTCGGGATTATTCACCATACCACCTAGTCATAGCAATCATAATAAATTTAGAACGAGTAACCCGCAATTGAGTAACCCAACGCCGAGACAAGAAGCAAGAAGTTTCAATAACCGGAGCATCTCCTGCGAAGCTAACATCCATAACCAGCAAGAAACAATAATCCATGCCCAGTTGCCAATTGCCAAGCCTAATAGATTCAGGAATTTGAGTTTAATCGAACAACCACGGCTAATAAAGCAACCACCGCCTCCACCTCCAAGAGACCCACGGAGGCTAGTACAGATCGACACCAGACCCATGTCATTTTGTTCACAACGTCGAAACAACGAAAATCTCTTCCAGCCAAGTTACAGAACGGTTTCAGAAGATCACATACCAACTGAGCCAAAGCAATCTTTATCACCTCGACCGTCTTCCGTAACCAACGAAAACAGAAGACATACACCAGAATCAACAGACAAGTTCCAATATTTAACCGAAAAGAAAGCTAGGAGCCGCAAACCCATTTTCATTCAATCTCAAGAAAGTATAAAGAGTCCACAAATGTTCACAGCTGAAACGCACGTTCAAACTAAAGTTTATTTACCAAGTGCAATTGCCACAGAGAATCGGAATCCAAGCCCTTTCAAACCAATTTCTAGCGCCAACTCGAATGATAGTATAGCGCATGAGATCAATAGAAAGTCAGCCAATTTAGAAGAAGCTTTAGATGAGTTGGAAGCAATTTACAAAAGTTTGCATTTGGGAGATGAAGATCTGCTTGAAAGGGCGGAACAGAGAGAAATGTCAATAGCATCGAAGAAACTAATAGAAACCAAGGCTGAATCATATCCATCTTGGGGTGTCATTCCTCGAGGGGCTATAAGTGATTCTTCTTTTACTTACGAGCCTTTTGATTCGGTAGATTCCCCGAAAAAGAAGCGCTACCTTAAGAAATCTCATACCCTCGATCGCAAGAATGACGATATGGCTTATAGAAAACTACACAAAGAACGTGCCAATACCATTAACAATTCCCAATCTGTAGTTTCTAATGTAAGTTATTTATTAGCTTCACCGGTTCACGGAATGCAAGACGAAACCGAAAGTGTACCAGATGAGAACAATCACGAACCAGATGTGACTTTGGACGATGTCGTTTACAGGACAATAAAACACGCCAATAACTCTTTGAAGGTAATCGATCCACAGCCACCATTTGGTATACCAATTGGTCCAATTACTCCTGCTCCAAACAGCGATTACCTACACGCCGCTCCTGAGCCTATACCGAGGTACTCGTTTAAACTAAAAAATATTCCCGACGTCGTCAAAGATGACTTAGCATTCAGAAATCTAAGGAAAGATTTTAACAAGGAGCCGGCCTTGGAGAATAACAGTTCGTTGAAGAAGAAAAGGGCAGTGAGATCCTTATCCGCGAACCTCATGAATATCAAAGAGAATAATAACGTCGAGAATGAATTTAAAAAGACCACCTTGACTGATATTGCTGATGCAATGGAGATCGCCCGGCAGATACTCAAGGACAAGGATAGCAGGATAAATTCGACCAGAAGGGCTTTCTTGAGTGATAGCGAGACGAAAAATATGAAATTTGCTTCGGAAAATGGTGCAGATAATATATCAGAGAGCAGAATGAATTTCTTGAACGATATGAGAAATGAAAAAGTTAAAGATTCTTCCTTTGAAGATTTACTTACTGCTTTGGCTGTTGAAGCTAGAGAGACGAGCGACAGAATTACCAAAGAACTGGATGAGCTTGATATTAAGAAGCAACAAAGTAATGAGTTGGAAATAGATAGTAAGCAGGAGTTGAATAAAAGGTTGGAAGAGATTGATGAGGTGTCGGAGCACGCGCGACTCTGCGAGAAACTGTTGGAATGCGTGGTCAAAACTGAGGAAGTTGAAGATATTGAAAGTGAGTTCCCGAAGGTGGTGGCCAACGTGGTTACAACTAGAGTCGATGAAGAAATTTGTGATCCAGTTCATATTGAAGTTCACAGCGTCTCCGATCACGATTATGAGAATTTGGGATCCGACGCGGAATTCGATAAAGCGATCCCTCTGATTGATGAAGATGTAGCCGGAAGCAGGTCGCCCTTCGAGGAGCATCGTGAAGAACTAATTGCGAGTTTCAAAGGGCTTGGAAAATTGGATAATAGGGATTTCAGCAGCGAGGATGAGGAAGGTGAGAGGTGTGCTTTAGCTTTGCCTTCTAAAGAGTGTGCCTTCATTTCTGAAACCAGAATCATCGTGAACTCTGAAGTGTTCACTAGCAACTGTGATATTTTTATAAACGAACCTGGCTTTGAAAGCAGCGCTTCTTGCACGGAATCTGTTTGTAGTAATAATAATAATAATACTATTCATAACAATCATAGTAATAATACTAGCGAAGCTGAGCAGTTGTTAGAGAGCTTGAAATCGCCTAAACTCGTAAAGACCGCAATGAAAGAGAGCAAAGAACGCTTGGGGAGATCTCCATCAACATCGACGTCAAGCGCATCCCAGTCATCCTCATCAATATCAAACGAATTGCGTGACCCAAGGCACACTCTTGGTAAGACCAGATCCTGGTACGGAGACCCAATAGTCTTTGCATTTGCATGTTCGTATGGAGTTGCATGCTCTTATCAATTAGCCTCCTTAGATGTTATCACTGTTCTTGGATTGCTCGTTGTCTTTATTTTGATTGCAGCCGCCCTGACCCGAGAGTAGATATTTAAACGCATGGTAGTTCCTTAACATTAATAAATCATCCATAAAAAAAGACAAAACAGACGAAAATAAACTC